TCTGCTCCTATGATGTTGCTTGGCCTGCTGTGTTCATCCAGCTCTGCACCTTGTTTATTCCTACTGTTTGTTTCCTGTTTGTCAGCCAGTTCTCTATGTTTGTCAGCACACTACCCCCAATCCCATGTGCTTTAGATCTGGAATATAAAGCTAGATGTCAGTAACAGTAACAATGAGGCCATCATCAACTGAGTGAAAAGGAATTCTGCTATCCTTACTTGGCCTGGTCAATATATGACTAAATGTATACAGGTTCACTCTTAAATGGCCAGTTCAAGGACAAATAAGTAAGGGCAACAAATTCAGGCCATACCAGTGCCCACATTTCATGAAAGAAATGAAGTAAAATGAGGACGAGGATAGAAAATGCAGATCGATCCAGAAATGGTGTGATTGTGAATGGCTGCTGTCGAAAGCAAAAGTGAGAAAAACAAAGTTATCACTGAAACCTGAAACGAAAGTGAAACTAAAGGGGTTGAGGGCAGTGGAGTCAGTTGCAGTGATTAAAGTCAGAAATTGTTGACCTTAGTATTTGGTTTAGAAAACCACAATCTTTCAAAAGATCAAGTGCTGCTTCTCAAGCTTGTTTTGAGCTTCACCCAAATGCTGAGAACAAGGATAAGTGCAAGGTGGAGAATTAAAAAGACAGGTTATCAGAAACTTCGGGTCGTACATGTGGACCAAGCAGAGGTGTTCTGCAAAGCAGTCACCTAATCTAAATTGCTTTTCCCAATGTAGAGGACACCATATTGTGAGATGCGAATGCAGTTTGCTAAATTGAAACAAGCACATGTAAATCACTGCACAGTCTGGAAAAGAGCAACTGGGGCCTTGGACACTGAGGAGAGAGCAGGTAAAATAGCATGTGTAACATCTCCTACATTTACATGGAGAGGTACTGAAGTAGGAGATCAGGTGTTGTGTTTGACCGTGCTCCTTTTCACCTCCTGATAACTTATGTTTTTAAAATTTCCCAATTCAATGAAAGGCCATGAACTGACATCTCGACCAATAATGCCCAAGAGTAGCAATCTCTACATTTGTACACTTCTATTAAATAACAACAAATTAATAGACGCGCTAAGTGACATTGACTATAAAACACAGAGGCAAAAAACACACTTGACCTATCTCAACTTCTGTCAGTCATTCTCCTACTTACTTAGGTAGTTCACTTAAACTTTTCCAATCACTTTATTTCTAAAAGTGCAGTGATAGATCCACATTTTCCAGATCTGGATGAATAACCTTCAGTTCCTCATCCTCGCATTAGCCCAGCTTCACAAAGCATATCGGTTTAGCAGAGAGCTGTTTTAACTCAGTGTACAGATCTCACAATCCAAGTTCTGCACAGGTAATCTTCCTACAGTGACCAAATTTTAATGTGTCATGTATTAAATAATTAAGCTAGCATATGCATTTTAAGTTTGTTAAAGCCTCCACTAAAATGATAGAAGAGTTTCAAATAAACTTCTTAGTGTTCATGTTCTAATATCTATGATCTAATATAAAAATTCTAATTCCCTATACACCCACACCTCCTCTGAAGAGCTTCTGTTTTTAAATTGCAAAGAATAATGAATTTTTTAAACTGCTTTTTGATTGAGCCATACCTTCTGCTTACAGAGTGCTTTTGTTACTTTATAGGCGATACTGGATGTTGTGGTGAATCTTCAGTTTAGCCTAATTGAAAAGCTATGGCAAACATTCTGGCACTATAGTTCATCAACTTCAACTGAAGGGACAACAATCAGTCAAACCAGGCAAGTGTCTATGCGGATCCATTTGACTTTCACAATGTGGCCGGTTATGTTAATCTGGGTGAGATTAGTTTAGGCCCACTTTAAGTGAGATGTTGCAAGCACATTGCTGAAACCAGAGGACTGACATTCTCCCAAAATACAGTCTGAGGCCTTCTTTTAATCAAGCTGCTGATACCTGTTGTACCTTTGGAGGCAGCAAAACTAAAGTTGACAATGAAAAATGAGCTGTATTCCTCACTGCCAGTGAATTTCAGCTAAGTTTCTGAGAAGGAAATGGAGAGAGGACATTTCAGGACAACAAACATACCATTGCACAAGATGGTAATGCAGACTGTCCCTTTTGTAGAATTGGTTGAAGTGAATATCATGATCAAGAACATGACACTGGCAAGTCAACAGTATAAGACAGAAGTAGGGATTGCCAGATGTACCAGGGGCAGTATTTTGGACAGCTAGCGCTGTTGGAGAAATCAAGTGCTTGGTGATGGGTATCCAAGCATTTGAAACATTGTTCGGCCCTTGCACGGGCATCATGAAGAGAAATATAGTGAATTATGAAGAACGACTTGTGTCCATGTTTGATATCAGATTGGACTTGGGGAATCCTGGTATATAGGCACAATGTCATCCAGAGCCGCCTTGGTTAGATGAAAACAAAGTCAAAATTATCCACACACAAATAAAACTCCCCACGGGGAAATAGAAGTGCAGCATTTGTGGCAGTGGGGCAGCCACCATTTAATGATGAAGTACATGACCGACCAGCCAAGGGTGGGAAAATGAACGGTATATGTTTGCTTTTGTTTTCTTGGGGTTTAAAAGCATTTATTCTCTTTCTTGTATTTTTTCAAAACCAGACAAAATGTTGATTTATGAAATATCAAACTAAACAAAGACAAATATTAAGTGTAATTTTTGATCAGATGAGAAAAGAACATGACTGTGTAAGTTACAAGGACTGGGTCCCACAGAACTGCAGTATAGAGTAGTTTTCTGCTGCTGCCTGCTGAATGGGAAGGTAAGTTCAAGATAAGCAGTAGGAACTGTTTCTTAGACAGCAAAAATCCTACCAAAACCTGGGTAGTGGGGGCTTGATACTCTGCTCCACATGAAATTGATCAATGTTGAAGAAGGGGTGTTAACAAGCATTATATCTTATTAGCAGATACATAGGGACCAGTGCCTCTTTGAGGTGGATGCCTCACATCATATTTCAGGTGTTTTTGGGGAACAATACATAACCCTGTGGAAAATCTTACATCACCTGAAAAATGGATGCAAAGACCACCAATTTCTAACCTGATATATGTTGTATATTTATATTTTTCTTTATTTTCTACCTCTCCTATCTCTCTCACATGCAAGTAAAATATATATCCTTCAACAATTTTGAAAATAACTCCTAGAATGCATCTGTGGGAAGCCTGAGGCAAGTCTGTTCCATTTTTTCCTTTCTCTGTGGTGTGGAAGTGCTTGGCTTCCATTTGTTGGCATGGTGGGTATTAGGCACTTACAATGCCAGAAATTCATTTTTCTTCACCTCCTAACTTTTAGGAGATGCAGAAAGTATGTCAGTTAGCATTTTAATTGATTATTTAGGAGGTTATTTGTAGCCTTTTCTTTTATTCATCTGGTACTGAAATATGTATAACTGTAAATCAACACTTCTGGGGCTTTTAAAAAAAAAAAATTCACAAATTGAAAGAGTTTAAAACTTTTTTTTTCTTAAATATCCAGGCTCATGTATTTCTCGAACAGCATCTGGGACAGATATGCTTTACTCCCATAAAGCTTGGTTCCATATATATAACTTGATTATCTCCTTACCTACCACTCTTTTTGTAATAGCAGACAGTGGAAAAGAAAAATTGTACTTTTCATTGCTGGAAATGGTTTGACTAAAGCAAGCTGTCTCTTAGAATTACTTCTAATGTGTAACTAATTTATTTATGATATTTTTGTTTCTTAAAATCAATATTTCTTGATTTTTATTAAGTCGATTTGCATCTATCCTGAACCAAAATATAACTTGGGGATGAGACAAGAAGAAATGTCTTCAAACGGTTGTGAATATTTGGAATCCTTTACCTTCCTGGAGTGTGAATCCTTACTCATTGAGTGTACTCAAGGCATGGATTGATGAATGTTTAGATGCTGAAGAGAATTAAGGAATATGAGGATATTGCAGCAAACTGGATTTAAATAGAAGATTAACCCTGGACATATTGTATGCTGAAGCAAGCATGTTGGCCATGTCCTTTTACATATGTTTATTCAGAAAATCATTGGTTTTAGATATTGAAGAGCACCCCCAGATTTGTCCTAGCACCTGAGATACTTCATGAGCAATCCAATGGTTTGCTCAATGACAATTCTGTAAGACCATAAGATATAGGAGCAGAATTAGGCCATTCGACCCATCAAGTGTGCACCTCCATTCAATCTTGGCTGATATGTTTCTCATCACCATTCTCCAACCTTTTCCATTTAACCCTTGATTCCCTTACTAATCAAGATCCTGTCTATTGCTGTCTTAAATACACTCAATGACTTAGTCCTCACAGCCTTCTGTGACAGTGAGTTCCACAGATTCACCACTGTCTGGCTGAAGAAATTCCTCCTATCTCAATTCTAAAGGATTGTCTCCTCTATCTGAGGCTATGCCGTCAGGTCCTAGTCTTTCCTACATCTTCTACATGTCTATTCTATCCGGGCCTCTTGGTATTCCCTGATGTGATTTCTTTCCTGCGTGTCAGTGAAGGGGCTTCTTTCAGTGTCATCAGCCACAACCTTTGTGAGCATGCCTTATTTTTGCGGAGCCACAGGCTAACCCTGCTTGGAGTGCATGTAGGAGAATTGACTCACAGGATGAAGGAATCTTTACAGCATCATGATCTTTCAGTTGTTGCAAACCACCTGAGAATTGATGGAAATCAGTCCCTTTCAGTTTATGAATACCCCTGAATGATCTAAACGTGCCTTAAATACAACATGTGCATACTTGGTGGCTCGCTGAACCTGTGAAATGTCAAACCACAACAGTAAATCTCTGATATTGACTAGCCTCATCAGTATTTAGGTGAATTCAAGTATTGTTGAGACAAGCATGGCATCTAGGAGAAGCATTTAGGGACAGCAGACTGAGAGATTTCAAAAATATCACGAGCAGATCTCAGAGAGCTAAGAAATTAAGAGCTCCAGTGACCTTCCCCAACCACAGTGTATGTTTGCCCACCCGCTCCACTTAGAGAGAGGAATTTTTCCAAGAGATGCAAATGGAGGTGATTGCCTTCAAGAAAAGTCTGAGTCTCCTGCGGCACTTAGAATCAGGCATTTCCAGAATTCTGTTCTTCTGCCCATGTCTTGTGTTGGGAATATAATCTCCTGCAAAGTAGATCTCTGTGCTCCTCGCCTCTTTTGCAGCAACAGTTTGTGGGGGAGAAAGCTCCTGGTGTTGCTCTTGCTGTGACTCTCATTGCTTGTGCTACTCCTCCTGTTCCTTATCAGAGGCACAAGATGGATCAATCCTCAATGGCTCCTGTGCTGCTAATAATGACAGCTGGAGAGTGTAGATCCAAGGCAGAAAACTGCTAAGTGGCAGAAATGACTACCAGCTATTGAAAATTGCTTCCAAATCAGAGTACAGCTTTAAAATGAAACCTTTCACTTGGCCAAGGTAGTTGTTGTCAAATCTTAGTAAATAAAACCTTTCTTGCTTCTCAGTTGTTGAGTTCCCACTGTCTTCTCAACTTATTTTGCCTAGTGAAATCCAGGAAACTTGTGCACTCATGAGTTAAAGGCAGGATCCTGGGTAGCAACTTTATTTCATTTCCATGGAACATATTTACATTTTCTGACCCTGCCCCCATCTCATGGGGGATTTCCAGTAGCTAATGCATGCACTCAGGTTAAATGCAAGAGCCCACTGTTAAAGAAGTAAATGGTTCTGAAGGGGTTAATGTTCATGTTGCATTGGCTCCACCCATTTTTCTGTCTCTCACAGTCTTTGGATGGAAAGAAGGGGCAGATTCTTACAGGGTTTTTAGAAGAGCAGGCAATGGAACTTGATTCAGGTTGAATGGTAGTTACTAAGTTCTCAGAAACCTGCAGGTGGGTCAGATTTCCCAGCCTTCATTGACAGGAACTGTTGTGCATTCATTTGTATGTCAAGAATATTCTTTAATATCCCAACCCACAGAAATTGCATTCATAGGCATAATCCTATTAGAATTGGTATTATTGCTAGAATATTAATGTAGAAACGCAGCTAATGTTCTGTGGATCTGGGTTCCAATCCCGTCACGGTAGATGATGGAATTTGAATTCAGTAAAAAATATCTGGAAATAAGAATTTGCTGATAACCCTGAATCCATTGCCATAAAGAGGACTTTGCAGGGTCGACAGGGCTGTTTCTGCTGTTGTCTTTCTTGGTGCCTGGGTCAATGCCAGGTGATCTGTCCAGTTTCATTGCTTCGTTGAGACTTTGTAGTAATTCATATCACTGAGTGGCTGGCTAGGCCACTTTAGAGGACAATTGAAAATCAACCACATTGCTGTGGGTCTGGAGACACATACAGGCCAGACCAGGTAGGAATGGCAGTTTCCTTCCCTAAATGACATTAGTGAACCAGATGGCTTTTTCCAACAATTGGTAATGATTCATGGTCATCATTAGAATTTGCTAATTCAGTTTTTCTTTGAAACCTCAAATCTCCAACATTTTACCTGAGTTTGTGAATTAACAGTCCAGTAATAATATCACTAGGCCATTGCCTCCCCGTTAAATACCAGAATTTGAATATTTGAATACCAGAAAGTGCCATGAGTGATCCTCTGGGAAAATATGACCATGACAGAGTTCCTTCCAGTTTCCCAATCTGTATGCAGTCTTTTTGCTTTTTTAACCTGCTGTCTGCACAGAAACCCAAGGACTTTGGAATATTAAAATATCATCTTTTGTCTCAGATTTCACATTACTTGGGAAAACAGTTACTGTTGACACTTGCTAAATTGGACCTGAGGGTATAAAAATCCACCATTTAATTTCAAACAAAATCTCTCTCTCATCACTGGTATTTTAATAATCATTGATTTGATTCTACATCTGTCCTCCTGCAGTGAGAATGAGATAGAAGGTAGACTTCCGAAGGCAAAGCTCACTGCTCTGTGTAAGAATGACTCCGTCCTCAAGTGGATGTGTACCTGCGATCATATAATGTACCAGGCTTTGGTGGAAATCCTTATTCCAGACGTCCTTAGACCTATTCCTAGTAAGTACTACCGCAAGTTGCTTGCTTTTCTAAATTTGGAAATTCAGACCTAAAAAGCAAAAAAGCGTAACCCCAGATCGCAGCATATAAGTCAACCAGGGTTAAAGACAAACCTATTCCTCACCTCCAGTAATAATGTTTTATATGTGTTCAGCATCCATTTTAGCACCGCTTTTCATACATGGCAACTGCACTTGCTTCATGCCTCAATTTGTCATCCCACAATCGCATGTTGCTTAGTATTAGCATATAATTGTGTCCAGGTAATACAGGCGGTGTTGCAAAACAATATGGGAGTTTAAGACATTCCCAAAGAGAGCAAACCTTACATGGAAGATGACAAAGATAGTGACCAGCCACACATATGTAAGCCGTTCACTTATATACTTGATGTTTAAGTTGACCCCTGTTTTCGGAAAGGTTTTTCAAAGCTTCGAAGATCAACTTGTATCATCTATGCGAATTGACGTGTTGATTGGAGTTACTGCCCCTAGGAGAATGCTAGCAGGCAATGAGGCACATAAAATTGGGAAATTTGCCATTTTGCTCCTAATGAAATTGGTGCTTTGAGTTTGAAGGACCCAAAGGCTGAATAGAAATGGGCTTATGCCTGATTTTTTACACAGACCGCCCCCTCCCCAAATTCAGCTCTGTGCTAACGATGTAGCATCGCTTTCCTTTATTAGATGAGTTTATTTGTGCACAGAATTATCCAGATGGATTTTTTTTATTCCTGTCTGTGAAATTATCTTGGCAATATGACCCATGAGGGTTGTGGGTAGCAGATGCCCCACAACCTCCCATTTCCGTTTTCAAATGGAAATAACTTAGAAATTGTTTTTCTCATCTTTGTGTTAAACTGTTAATCTGATTTAGTTGAAAATGTGACCTTACAAATATGTAGGTTCATTGTAATAACGCAGGACCAGCACACATTATTTTTGTACTTCAGTAACATATTAATTTTTCTGTTCTGGCAAATGATTCCGTCCTGTAATAGAAATGCATTTGTTATCAGTCAATTTAATATGACATGTATTCACAGTTATAATGCACCTCAGTGGTATTTCCATTTAGCTCAGAAAAGGCACCAAGTGAAAGGAATGCTTTTCCCCGCATGTCCTTTGTTGTACTTCGTGCTGTCAACTAAAGAGCAGCAATCACAGAGCCCTGTTAATCCTTGCCTGGTCTCTTCATCAGCTTTAAGGAGTGGCAGGAACATAAAGGTGCACCAAAAATTATTTGAGATCTTTTGTTTTATCATGCTGCAATGTGCTGCAAATAATTAAGTTAATTACTAACTATAATAATTGAAGCAAATTAAGGATTTTTTTGTTCCCCACAGGAGATAAGATTTGCAGTTTTTCACTTCTGTTGTGATCTGCTTCTCTATGTTTGACTTTTATACTGTTATAATCACTTTAAATTGTTATTCGGTTCTTTGTGAATGATGATTTAGATTTGTTGGCCCTGATTCTAAGGGACTGTCTCTGGTGGGAGTGGGGCAGAATCTCCCCAAAATTCATGATTCAAACTTGCTGCCTTGTTTTGGTGCCAGTCCAGCTGCCATCATTTTATTTGGCACATTCAAAAGGACAGTCATGGCACCTGGCTGAAGGAGGCAGAACTTTCATTACGGTGTTCAAATCTGAATCCCAATGATGACTTAGCCAGACAAAATATGAGTACCGGTACAGGGTTTAGCTCGTTAGGCAGTACAGACTAAAATAATCATTGGAAGCACATCTTAAAATACATTTAACACTACAGATCATTGGAATTTGTTTGGAGATGACCTGACTTGATTTCTGCCAAAATATGGGGCTTGAAAATCTTTTGAAACCATTTATTTTTCCTGCTTAACTTTGTATCACCAACTAGACTTAGACCAATTACCTTCATCTACTGTCACTTGCTCAATCGATTAATTTGGATTTTAAATGAGTGATGCACAAGTTCTGATTCTTTCCGTACAATAATAAGTTACAGCCTGCCATCTCAAAATGCATTGTTGATTGCTTCTGTTTTCAGTTGATTATTCAACCCTCAATCCATGATAATACATTACCACCAATAGGCATAATACCACCTATTATAACAAGAAGTGAAATAACCTCTTTTTAAGACACTGTTTTGAATGTCTTTCAAAAATGCAGAAACATTGCACCCAACTAGTTACATTCCCAAAAAATTCCAAAATTATCAAATGCAATTCTCCTTTCATAAATCCATGTTAGCTGTAGTTAATCATATCCTGATTTTTCTAAGTGTGCTGTTCTGGCATGCCTAATTTAAGTTCTAGCAATATACTTACAAATGATATTAAGCTAACTGGCTCCTATTTCCACATTGTCATTCATTGGTCTAAAGTGTGGTGTTCTGTTTACTATCTTCCAATTCTTCGGAACTCATCTAGAAGTGAAAGAATATTGAAAGATCTTAACTAATGTATCTATTATCTCTGGTGCTGTCTCTTTGAAAATTCAAAGGTGCAGATCTTCTGGTTCAGGAGATTTTTCACTGTTTAGTCCCGTTAGCTCCTCAGTTCTTTTCTTTATTTGATTTGTTTGTGAGATCTGGATTCCACAGGCTAGGCCTGTTAGGAACGGAATTCCAGATTTTGACCCAGTGATAGTAAAGGAATTGTAATCCAGTTCCCTGTCAGGATACTGTGTGGTTTGGAAGAGAATGTGTAGGTAATGATGTTCCCATGCATCTTCTATCTTTGTCTTTCCAGTTGTCACAGTTTTGGAAGATGCATTTGAAGGAGCCTTGATGGATTGTTTCTGTGTATCTTGTAGATGGTACAAGCTGCTGTCACAGTGGCTTCATGGTGGAGGGAGCGGATGTTTAAGTTGGCAATGGAGATGCCAAATAAGGGGGCTGCTTTATCCTGGATGATGTCAAGCTTCTTGACTGTTGTTAGAGCTGCGCTCATCCAGGCAGGTGGAGAGTATTCCATTGTTCTCCTGACTTGTGGCTTGTAGTTGGTGGATGGGCAATGGGAAGTCAGGAGGTGAGTTAGTCACCCCTGACCTACTTTTGTAGCCTCGACATTTATATGGTTAGTCCAGTTCAGTTTCTGGCCAACAGTAACCCCATGTTGATAACAGAAAAATTTAGTGATGGTGACGCCATTCAGTGTCAAGCAGAGGTAGTTAAATTCTCAAACAAAAATAAAGTTGCTGGAAAAACCCAGCAGGTCTGGCAGCATCTGTGAAGGAAAAAAATAGAGTTATCGTTTCGGGTCCAGTGACCCTTCCTCAGAACTCTCTTGTTTAAAATTCTTGTTTAAATTCCCTCTTGTTTAAAATTGCCTAGCATCTGTGTGTCATGAATGTTGCTTTCTACTTATCGGCACAAGTCTGAATTTTGCGCCGGTCTTGCCTATGGCGAGTTTGCCATTGGAGAGAATTTAAGCAGGTGTGAGTGTGGCAGGAGGACGTGCAACTGCCTTCCCACCTCTTCCCTGCTTAACCCATGACATAAGGTCCCTGCTCTTCTCGCATGCTGCCATTGAAGCCTTTATATATGCAGTTAATACCCATTTCAGGGTCACATCCCACCACTCACCATGAAGAAAGCTGAAAAGTAAATGCTGCCACAGGGACTCTGAGAGAATCCCACCAGCAAAAGCACTCAATGCCAGTACTGAGAGGTAGGGATTGGTCAGGCTATGGAAGAATTTGTAAGGGAAGACAAGAATTTTAATTGGTTGTCAGTGCAAATCAGGGAGCATGGGAACAAAAGGTCAAGTGGATTTAGTGCAAATTAGGTCCTAGGCAGAAGTGTTCAGGTCTCACGTTTATGGAAGGTAAAATTTGGGACTCCAGCTAGGAGTGCAGTACAGCAGTGACATCTGGAAATATCAAGTGTGGACTTGGGTTTTATGTGAAATAAATTAGTTTACAAATTGAGATTTGTTTCAATACAGTGTTTTTCTCTCTGCCTTCCTTAAAGAAAAAGTAATATATGTGATGTTCAGTAACTGGTATAAAGCAGTGGTTCCTTGTTACGATTCAGGGCCAATCTATCGATTAACAAAATATTGGATAGTAAAGAAATTATGTAGTCCTGATTATAGAGAATTTGAGGTCTGCTTAATTGTGATGCTGGACTTTATGCAAATTTCAGATTTTTGCATTATGTTTACTTTTGCAAAACCAAATTTAAGGCTATAGTTTAAATTCAGAATTCAGGTCTATGGTTCCATGATTTACTGAACATTAAAATGAAAGGTCAGAAAAGCACTGTGGCCAAATTTCCAGGATGCATCTTTGCCCACCAGGGTATATTAAGGAAAACAATTTTGTAAAATCATCATTTGTTACTGGTAATAAAACAATTGAACATGTTTTTAAGGAATATGCTTATCCAGTATTAAAATTGTCAGTGTAATTAAAATGATTATTGGTGTTAACTTTTATGACCACCTTCAGCTATGCATACAGCACTGTTAACAAAATCACAGGATAATTGCTCACAAACTGGCTTTTTGTCTCACTGGATAGAAATTATTTAAGGTTCTTGCGAAGATTTGTAGCTCGGATTGTGGATGAGGTTGTTGGCTTGCTCGCTGAGCTGGCTGGTTATCGTACAGATGTTTCGTCACCATGCTAGGTAACATTATCAGTGCAGCCTCCGATGAAGCAATGTTGTTCTACTCCGCTTGGAATTTATATGATTTGGTCCGTTGTTAGGTTGTGTCATTTCCGGTTCTTTTTTGCACGAATTTGTATATGGTGTCTGATTCCACATGTTTGTTGATTGCAATGTGGGTTGAAAACAAGGTCTGTAGGAATTCCCCTACGTGTCTGTGGCTGCCTTGAGCTAGGATGTTCACGTCGTCCCAGTTAAATTGATAGCCTTCATTGTCCGAGTGCACTGAGATGAGGCAAAGCTTGTTGTGTCGTTTTGCTGCTAGCTGGTGTTCGTGTATCCTGATGGCTAGTTTCCTTGTGGTCTGGCCAATGTAATGTTTGTTGCAGCCATTGCAAGGTATTTTGTAAACTGCGCTGTTCCAGCATGTTATGGGTATGGGGTCTTTGTTCCTTGTGAGTGCTTGTGGTAGTGTGGCTGTGGGTTTGTGTGCTACCATGATTCCTAGTGGTTGTAGGAGTCGTTGTCAGTTCTGATATGCTATTGATATAGAGTAGTGTGGCCAGTGTCTTGGTGCATACTGTGTCCTCTTGGTGTTGTCTATCTATTAGGCACCATGCAGATGAAGTTGTTGGGATATCCATTGTTAGCAATACCTTGTATAGATGCTCTTCCTTCTTCTTGCATAGTTCTGGTGCACTGCAGTGTGTTGTGGCTTGTTTGAATAATGTCCTAACACAGCTTTGTTTGTGGACATTGGGGTGATTGCTGTGGAAATTGAGGATTTGATCAGTGTGGGTTGCCTTCCTATATACTGTGGTTTGGAACTCCCCGTTGGTCATTTGTTCTACCCTGACATCTAGGAACAAAAGTTGATTGTTGTCTTCCTCCTCTCTCTTAAATTTGATCACCAGGAAACGTCTGTACAATAACCAGCTAGCTCAGCGAGCCAGCCAACAACCTCAAGAAATTATTTGTCAGAATGGAAGAAAATGGTGTTGATGTTAAATATTAGTGAATTTTTGGTTTTGTCTTCAGAAGAGCAAATTATAATGTATTATATGCCCTTAGAATATTTTCTTGGACTTTATCATTTACCATTTACCATTTTCCTCAATCTATGTAACCAAACTGATATGTTTGCAGAATCTCTGAAGTTTTACCGCACAGGAGATCATTCAGCCCATTATTCCTGCCTGATGTTCAAATGAGCATCATTACCTGCTGCCGATCTCCTGTGTTTTCCCCATGTCTTTGCACATTATTTTTATCCAAATAATTGTCTAATGCCCTTAAGGATATATTCTATTCTTCAAGGATTCTATAATTATATTCAATAATTCTACAATTCTAAATATCAGTCCCTCAAAATTTAAATAAGTACTTTGAGATCAAAACAGTTCTGACAAATGCATTCATTTTGAATTTAGACACTGATATGAGCAAAGTTTTGCTTCTATAGATAATGGAGCCATAATTCTTTGCTTCCATTTAGCTTCTCATCATTATACCAATCATTAGCAGCTGAATTGCTAAATGCTCTGCCTTCTATATATCAATATAAACATTTCAAATTTAAGTTCACAATTAATGAAAGACGTATGTTGTTCAATCTTGTAAAAGTTAAAATATCCTTTGGTGTCCATCGTCTCCTTTTGTGCCTTTCCTTCCACAAATTACAACTCATTCATAATACTGCTGCACATCTTTACAAGATCCAAAACTCTCACCTCCATGACCTGGTCCTTACTAAGCCACGTCTAATTCTTTGAACTAAGTTCAAGATTCTTCTCCTCCCCTTCACTTACAGCAATGGTACCATCCCATTCTACTTCAGTGTCCTCTTGACCGTTAAGTCACTGCTCTCCCTGACATAGACTCTGACTCCTGTTTGCCTGTACATTGACAGCCAACATACCTTTATGCTTTTTCTCAAAATCACTTCTTAATGTAGACTTGCTTTCAAAACCAAAACCTTTTGAGGTGATTTTCTGTGTTTGTGTTTTTCAACTTTGTATTCAGTCCTGCCCCTGAATTCGATTCCATATTATTTTTTTCTTCCCACTCGGTGCAAGTACTTCCCTCAGATTTCAAAGATATTCTGCTTTATCTTTCTGATGTAAGTGTGGTTTGCTTGACATTCTCCCTGCTTGAATGAAGCCATAAATAAGATAGTAAATAAAAAACAGAAGAACTGCGGATGCTGTAAATCAGGAACAAAAACAAAGTTGCTGGAATAGCTCAGCAGGTCTGGCAGCATCTGTGAAGGAGAAAATAGAGTTAACGTTTCGGGTCCGGTGACCCTTCCTCAGAGCATGTCACTTAATAATCTGATGGAATCTAATACCTCAAACTCTATCAATAGAATACCTTTCCTAATTCTACTCATGTTGTTATTTCCTTTGTCCTTCCTCAGTTCTGAGGAAGGGTCACTGGACCCGAAACATTAACTCTGTTTTCTCCTTCACAGATGCTGCCAGACCTGCTGAGCTATTCCAGCAACTTTGTTTTTGTTCATAGATAAGATAGACCCAGTTATGACTGTTTAAGGACAGTGCAGTCAGAACAGGTTCATGGACTGTTGACTTTTATTTCATGCAACTTGTGGATGAGATGCCTCTACAGGAGAACTGGAGTTGTTTCATAAGTAGAAAAATAGAAATATATTGAAAACATTAATAGAGGTATCATCAATTTGATCATGAATGAGGTCATTTAGTTATAGATTAGATTATACCAAAACCAAAACCTTTTGAGGTGATTTTCTATGTTTGTGTTTTTCAACTTTGCATTCAGTCCTGCCCCTGAATTCGTCTGGACAATAAGCAGCAATTTGAAAATTATTGCTTCTATTCCCTAATGTTAAAAAATACTGACTAATAATTTTATTGGATGTAAAAATAGTTGTGCAAAGGTCATTGTTCAAATAAATTACTGTTACCAATGAGGCCATTTCTATGAAGCTCAAAACTTTTCACAGACTGTAAGCGGGCACTGAGTCTTGTAATATTTTCTCACTCCTGTATAAATATTACCTAATCAAGTGTTCTTGTAGTGTTCAAAGTACATGGTGTAATATGAAGGGAGATCACCAAATTTAATATCATTAAGAAATGCTGTATAATTATGCTGTTACACAAAAACAAGCAAGTACTTTCATTGTACAGGAAGGGGTAGAATACTTTCCATTTCAGCACCTAATGGCAGTAGTAGTCATTCTAATGTCATATATAGCACAACCAGCAAAGTCTGTGCAACTCTGTCTAAATGATAAGCCTTGGCGAGAAAAGAGAGACATTTAATCCAGCAGCGTGCCTTTTTAATATATATTTCACCTACCAATCTCTCATAACATTTTCAGTTAATGCCAATAAGGAAAATTATTTTTCCTGTAGGTTCATGTCCTCTATGAAATGGATTGAGCTGTACAAACTCCATTTGTACGCAACTTGTATTCCAACAAATTGCGAGAACTTAATTCCATCTGGGCTACATAAGTAGCTGATGTGAAAGGCTAATATCTAATCCTTGGCACTGCCCAGTTCTTAACACTTAGCAACATTTTACCAGTTGAATTGTAAAGTTCTTCAGTTCTAAAATCTGTGAAAAATAAATATTGAACTATAGCCTTCAGATAAGAGTGTAAATCTCTTATTGAATTATATTCGTCTATCTTTATTCACTTTTGCCATTATTAGGTGCCTTGACCCAAGCCGTTCGGAATTTTGCAAAAAGCCTCGAAGGATGGCTGACAAATGCCATGAACAATATTCCGCAGCAAATGGTTCGCACCAAGGTGAGTCAAATGGAATTGTTATAGACTAAGTTAAATTGTAATCCCGATTGTTTAAAATAGAAGCTTTAAGGCTCTTCTACAATGTGTGAAAGCAATATTTGGGTATATAATTCCTCAAATATCCTAGACTGATAATACTGAATAGGTGATCTTTGCCAATCGAACCAGAGTTCCAAAGCTCTTGTAGACTGCGAGATTGAGTTCAACTCCGCTCAACTAAAGACAAACCTGAAATGGGAAGAGGAGGATCCAATTGTAATATTCCACAAAGGAAACAACAACATGAGCAGAATTAAGAATGGTATTCTACTGATACAGTTTGAGGTATTAGATTCCACTCAGATTATTAAGTGACATGTCAATTGACATAAAAAGGAATAGAGTATAAAAATAGGGAAGTCTTGCTAAAACAATGCAAGGCGGTGCTTAAACCACATATCGAATATTGTGAACAGTTTTGGTCCCCTCATCTAAGAAATTATATATTAGCATTGGAGACAGTCGGTTAATCCCGGATATGTAAGGATTGTCCCACAAGGAGAGGTTGAGCAGGTTGGGTTTGCATTCAATGGAGTTTGGAAGAGTGAGAAATGGCCTTATTGAAACATAGAAGAGGTGTGGGGAGTTTCTCACCGGGTGGTGACAAGTTGCCAATTCAGGATTGTTACTGGTTAACAGCCCAACGAGCCTCATCATTATTAAGTTCCAATCTTGCCAAGTGCACCAAACAGGTTAGATGTCAAGAAGACTGAAATGGAATTGCTAAGGCTATTGTAGTTAAGTTTTAAGTTAAGGAAATCCCCTGGGATATTGATGGCAAGGTTTTAGCAATGATAATCCGATTAAATATCAAGGAGAACTGTTTTTCTGTCTTTGTGGAGATGGTCATTGCCAGGTGTTTGTGTGGCAAAAATTTTGCTTGCCACTTGTCTGAATCTTTCCCAGGCCTTTCTGCACATGGACATGCATTGCTTCAGTATCTGAGCAGTTCCAAGAGGTACTGAACAGAAAAATGGTTGTGGGGGGTGGAGAGAGCTTTTCCAATCTTCCCATGATATTTTGGAGATTTGCCAAAGATTGGAAAGCGGCAAATGTGATGTCCTGTTCTGAGAAACGGTATGAAGACATTCCCAGTAGCTGTAGTTTATATTTAGTGCAGCAAGGGTTTGGAAGCAATAATCAGGGGACAAATTCAGAGACACTTGGAAAGTTTTGTATTAATTAATGAGAGGCAGCACGGCTTTGTAATATGATGTGGAGGTGCTGGTGTTGGACTGGGGTGGTCAAGGTCAGAAGTCACAAGACGCCAGGTTCTAGTCCAACAGATTTATTTGAAAACACCAGCTTTCGGACCCTCAGTCCTCCTTCAGGTGTTAGTGAGAGAGGTGGTATCACACACAGAATTTATAAGTAAAAGATCAAAGGTTCACACCATTGATGAGGATGTACTAAACAAACCTGAGATGCTGTTAAATCTTTCATCAGTTAGAAGGTTTTAATTAATTAATATATATATGTAAATCCCTGAATTCCTTTGAGGTTACTCTCCTGAGAGAACTAAAGGATTTATCAGTGACCCCACCAGACTATACACGCTCACACACACGCATACATACACACCCTCTCACACACGCACGTGCACATAAATACACACACACTCATACAGATCCTCTCTCATACACACTGTCAAGTGCGCATGCGCACACACGTTCTCTCTCTCTCTACCCCCCCGCACACATGCACATGCACACCCTCTTCCCCCCACCTCAGATACGTGCACAGGCATACTCTGCCTCTCCCTCACAAGTGTGCACGCACTCGCACTCACCCACCCAGAATTAAACAGATTTTGATTGAAAAGGAACTCAGGTGCTGTAGGCAGGCAGGAAAGTCAAGCTAAAGCTATAGTCAGATTAGCCATGATCTTATTGAGTGCTAGAGTAGGCTCCAGGCCTACTCGTCCTATTTCTTATGTAATTGCATTCATTTTACGTCAGTCTCAAAATGACAGATGGGGCATTGTTTAATATCTTTTGTTAGACCATGACCTTTGATTCAAAGACACTTGCGCGTTTAGTTCTTGATATTTTCTTTCCCAATTGAATGATCTAGAGTAGTTCTTTGTTGTATCACACACAGATTGTGTTCTAATATGATATTTATGTTTCAGGGTATTATTCATTCCCATTGTTCAGTTTCTTAGAATGATAGGGTTTATAGTGATGATGTTGTTGTTCATCAGATTTTATTTCACAACATCATTCCTTAGTTTAATGTACTAGAGCCTGAGTAATTGTGCTTCAGACCTATTGCACTTCATTTTCATTTTCCAAGCTGTGTGCATTAATATGGATGTAAAGTCATGTGTGAATTGCTCCATCTGTATGCTAAAAGTTTGCTTTCAAGTAGAAGGGTAGAATTATAATGTTGACTCAATAAACAAATAAGGTTAACAGTGAGGAGTTGCTGGCTTTAGACATTTATTCTCTTACCTGAATTTTCAGCTTTGACCTGTTCTTTGTAATATTCTGCCCCTGCTTTTACTCGGTGTTACAGCCTGTGATTTGGTTTCAGACACAACTGACTATACAAAATAAGGGAGCTTCAGGATTATGATCGAGCTTTCCTAACATCCACGTTGTAAATGCATTAAAATTGACAATACACGTGTATTAATCTGCATTAGAATAAAATTATGCTCTTGTATTACGTCAGCTATGGCTCAGTTAGTAGCATTCTCACCTGAGTCAGAAAGTTGTAGGTATCAAGTTCCATTCAAGAGATGAGAACAGAAAATTTCTAGACTGATATTTAAGAGTACTGCACTGTTGGAGGTGCCAACATTTGGAGAGACTTTAAACTGAGGTCTCCCCTCGTCTCTCAGATGGATGTAAAAGTCCCACGGCAACGTCATATTACTCACATTAAAACAGTAATTACAATTCAAATATATGGAATTGTTTATAAATTGCCGAGGGATATCCTGAATTCAGGGTCTACAATTCCCTCACTCATGCCTTCAACCCTCCTTAGCCATCCATCCCTCCCTCCATAGGTCGATCCAACTAACCTACCCTCCTCTCAACCCTCTATCCCTCCCAACATGTAGCCTTTCTTCCATTCACCTCTCCTTCCTGCCATCAATCCAAAGATACAGAAAAGCCTGTAATAATTTCAAGAACCACATTGCTTTAACTTTCTTCGTATTTGCACATTTTTTCTGATAGGTTGGAGCTGTAAGTGCCTTTGCTCAGACACTGCGTAGATATACGTCCCTCAATCATTTAGCTCAAGCTGCTCGAGCTGTGCTGCAAAACACATCTCAAATTAACCAGATGCTCAGTGACCTCAATCGTGTAGACTTCGCCAATGTCCAGGTAAGCTTCAAGACTGTACAATATTGCTTCAATTAAAGTTAATTGTGTTTATTTTTAAAAATGAAGTCACTCAAACACTGTTATGCGCAAATGAAACTAGTAAGTGGCTTTCTTTTGGCTTTTTGGAAAACAAAATTCCTTTTACAGCTACTTAAAATCACATTACTGTCAGATGGTGGAGTAAGGCACTCTGATCAAAATAGTATGGCAGAAAAATTCATTTTCATAGCACCAACTTTCTTGACAATTTCAGTACTGTTTTGGATCCAAAATGATGTTTGCATCAACCTGTAGTGCCACTCATGCAAGGTCTGTCTGTCAGAAGTATGGAGGCTAGGCAGTTCTAAACCTCAGTCAGCATGCCACACTGATTTAGTACCAGCACTGCCATTTGGAGTTCAGTCCTCCGGCTAACACCATCTCTGAACTACACATTCAGCAGCAGGAAATATATCATGAGCATTATTTATAGGCATCATAAACTACTTAGAGTGATAGAGTTTTTACAGCATGGAAAGAGGCCCTTCAGCCCATCATGTCCATGCCAGTCAGCAAACATCCACCTATTCTAATCTCATTTCCTAGCACTTGGCTTTAGCTGACCCTGGCTTTTGCTACAATTATAGAAATGTATTGTGGTTTGTAGTCTTCCTTAAAGTTGCTAAAATTTACAGGGACTGATGTCACATGACTTTGCACAGACTTTCAGGCCTGGTGACACAAATCACCTACTCTCAGAATGGGTCTAGCCCTGTGCAATCCTTTAAACTGCAGCTATTACACAGACATAGAGGTGGCATATGTCAGGACAATTGCTGCAAAAAGGAGGGGAAAGAAAACTTCTGATAGGTTTACTTCCCTGGCTGTAGGTTGCCACTGCCTCCATACACATTGCTTTACGGCATGGAATGTTGACTCTGATTCATACCATAACAAAACAGGATTCCACACCCTTTGCTGCTAGTTGGTATGTGACAACAGATGGAGAATCATGCACGTCAATTCCAGTCGCATTGCCTTTATTCAACAGCAGTCCCCTGTACCATCTCAAATGAGGTAATTGCCTATGCTCTAACATGCAGTCACTTACACTCTCAATCATGCACTTACTCTGTCACTCTTATTTTCTCACATTTGTGCCTGTGCACCTGCTAAGTGTCACTCTTGCACAGATTCGTTCTTGCACACTCACTCCCTCATCATACACTTGCTCACTCGTCACACATTTGTTCACACTTGCTCACGTATTCCCTCATTCTTGTATCAGCTCATTCTCTCTCTCTGACACTCTTGCATACTCTCATTTGATCTATCCTTTGCATTCGCTCACTCTCCCTCATTCTCCCACTAGCCTATATTCTCTTTTGCTCTTGTGTACTCATGCTCATTCTCTCATTCCCATGCACTCGCTCCCCTGGTCCACACATTCGCTGACTCCTTCATTCTTGCACCAGCTGGCTCTCTCTCTCTCGCTCTCACACACTTGTGCTCGCGCTCTCTTTCCCGCACATTCACTTACCCTCTTTCTCAAACTAGTTCATACACCTCTCATTCTTTTGTGCGCACTCTTTTATATTCATTCCTCCCCTCCCTCGCAGGGGCCCAGGGGTCACTGTCCCATTTAGTGCCTGCCATTTCCACTTGAATGTTTTAACCAGTTTCACACTTTGACCATTCAGATTAGTAAGCTACCGGGCAACTGAACCTGGCTTCTCTGGAAGTGGACGCTCCACTGATTGGCATTGATTGCACCCTTGTCTCCTGAACATTGAGTCTGAGGAAAACCAGAAAATTGCTTGGCCATTGGCTGACCGTTTTCACTCTCATTTCCGTTAGTAATCTTGGATGAATCTCATCTGGTGCTGCTGCCTTTTTCAGCTTTAAGTACAATCTATCCAGAACACCCCTCTTCACCAATTTTAAATCCTTCAGAAGTCTGTAATACCACCACTTGCACCATGACCTGGACAGCTTGCTCTTTTGTTTTTGATGAAGACGAATGTATGATATTCATTTAATACCTGAATCCTGACTTTAAGCATAATCTTTTTGATACTTAATTGGTCCTGCTGCTCCTTTTACCATATTCGTATTGACTGTATTTCGTTCTTGACTGTATTATGCACATAGTCAGAAATCACATGACACCAGGTTGTAATCCAACAGGTTTATTTGAAATCACAAGCTTCCAGAGTGTTGCTTCTTTGTCAGGTGATGTCACAAAGGAGCAGTGCTCTGAAGGCTTATGATTTCAAATAAACCTGTTGGACTATAACCTGGTGTCTTGTGTCTACTGACTTTGTCCAATCCCAGTCCAGTACCAGAACCTGCACATCATATTATCCCCAAGTTAGTTGTCAAGCGTACGTTTTCTTCTTCTTCCTAACCTTGACTTCTTTCACAATCCAGCAATTGTCTGCCCTGTCCTTCCAACTCATGGGAATATACCTTGACTGTGTGCAAAATATCACTTCTTTGAATGCAGCACATTGTTCAAGTACTGTTTTGCTTGGCCACTTTTGATTCCAGTTTATCTGGTCCAGATTCAGTGTTACTTCAAGTTGACCTAGATAATGATTATACTTTAAACATTTCATACTCCTTTTCCAGAGCCAGCCTAACCTTATGATAAAATGGTCACCATTCCCTAAACGTTCCCACCTGACATTTAATCCATGCAGCCCAACCCATTCTCAAGAGCCTGGTCCAACAATGCCTCATTTCTTGTTGGACTGGAAGTGTACTGCAATAGAAACTTTCCACTGACAGATTCTAGGAATTCCTGCACGTTACACCACTACAATCCCAGCCTATATTCGGAGAGTTAAAAATCTCTGCCTTGAATCCGCCTAATCCATACTTTTTGCATCTTTTGAATTTCCTTGAAATTTTTATTCTGTACATCTTTTTAACTCGGTGGCCTATAGATAATACCAAACACTCTAATTGCATCAGTTTTTTTGTTGCTTAGCTCTCGCCAAATGGATTCTGTCCCTGACCTTACTAGAACAGTCCATGTCTCTTCAGCAATGCAGTGTTCTCTTTATTCAATACAGCCACCCCATCCCTCCTTTTCCTACTTTTTCTGAACATTATAACACACTGCCACAGTATACTGCTACATGGAAAATTTTGCATTCACCGAAATGCAAATGAGTTCAAGCAGAAATTGAACTTTGAAATGAGCAGAAACTGTTGACAAATGTATCTAGTCTACTTAAAGATTACCTTCAATTCTGGTGAAAAATTACTAAGTAATCAGAATCTACACATGGCACAATTTGAACGGGAAATCTTTTTATATTTCTGTGAGAAAGTTCTTCCTGAATCCGGTTTTATTGTATAGATTCATTGCTTTTAGTATTTCATGCTGCAATTTTGAACCTTTTATCATTGTAACAAAGTTCTTGATGTCACTGACGTATACAGCCAGTTGTATAAGAAATATAGGAAATTTGTCTACTTTGGTTCATTGTTCATAAATTATTTGCATAAAACATTACTTATCTTCTTTCTGCGTCGGCATAAAGCCCAAATCTCTCTCTGGTAGACCTTGTGAGGTTTCAGTCCTGAAATCTGAACGTCAGATCGTGACACTTCACATTTCCCTATCATTAAAATTAATTATCAGGAAACAGGAAGCATCACAAAGCAGGCACACTGGCATCTGCATCTGGTTCTCCAATTAACAATTCTGTCAATCAGGGATCCCCTCCGGGTGCCTCACCTCACAAGAGGAGGCACTTCAATTTCTTGGTTAAGCAATAATCTATTTCTATTTTAAACACTTTACCTAACTTCACATTCACCACATTGCTGTTCCATAGGTTAAATCCAGGTTGGCATGGAGGTCAGCACACTCAGTCCATGGCACTGTTGCCTTTCTGGTGATTGGTGTATATGAAGAGAACTTTTGCATCTTTTTATATGCGTGATCCTTTAAGCCAAATATTGATTAGGCTGTTTGGCAAGTTAGTCCTGCACTAAACAGAATTACTACTCATTGGAATAGGAAAGTCTGCTTTTCATCCAAGTACTCCCCAATTTAATTTTGAACAATAACAGTAGGCTTCACATTTTCAGAAAAGTTTTAATCTTATTTCCTGCACAGAGATTTCTGAGGCCGCTTTAATGACCTCCATTATGAGCCCATTCCTTTCTCAAGCAGAAGCATGGTTTGCGAAGATGTTAACCTCTGCTACCATCAGTAATGGCTGAACTGTTATGTGGTTAGTATTGCATCATCTGAAGGCACTCCAATTGACTTCAGCAGTAGCAAGTTTAGAATAATCAGGATCTTCCATTTTTTTGTTAAATTGCCTTTGAGTAAGAATTCAATAATAAAACTTTAAATTATTCTGTGTTTGACAACTTTCTTTCTTTGAAGGGCCCAACAGAAAGAACCCGTTTGAGATCTTTCATGGTGGAAATATAATTCTGAAATTAGGTTTATTATCGGACATAAAGTACTAAAATTTACCCAAAGTTGCACTTTCCTGGATTGACTTGCCTGTTAAAAACTTATTTACCGAACATTTGCTTAGCTTATCAGCACTGCTCTTGTTTCTCTTCTTCTGCAAAGGAACTCTGCAAAAAAAACTGCGAATAGCTGTGCCCTGTTGCTCCTCTTGTTTGTAATTAATGTGAATTCTGTTCTCTAATGCCATAAGCTAAATGGAGCTGATATTGTGGGTATTGCAGTACATGACAAAGATATTGTTGTAATTATTTCCAAAATCTGAAAGCACTCTGTACCATTAAATTAAAAAGAGTACTTATTGACTTTTGAAAGGAACCAAGTTTAGAGCAGCAAAGTTGCCTCAACTATGGCAAAATAGTCAGTGATTGTAGGTTGACCAAATTCATAGTGGAACTAACTTGTTCGAGTGAATGCCACAGCTGTTTGTAAAGCTGCATCTGAATTTTAAAATTCCATTAGTGTGGACTATAAATTTGTTTTAATTTGCTGCTTTCTAACACTGGGTCAGATATGATTTTGG